AAATTGTTTCCAGAAGCGTTGTATTCACAACGTAGAGAATGTTATCACAGGCAAACTTCACAGCAGTATGTACAAGTCTTGCATCAAATTGCACCAGTAATATTAGAATACTAATTGTACTGCGACCCGAAGTGAATAATCTCAAGGCTTCATAATAACAAGTAGATGTATTGAAGGAAAGATTGCAGAAACACTGTATGACTTAGATACGGTTTTAATAATTGTTTAAACCAGTTAACACTGTAGTAATCTGTGACCCTGCGCAACTGCAGAGACAAATGCTGACCGGCTGAGTTTTAACATGGAACTTAGCACACAAGTGCAGCAGTTTGAATTGCTACATTCCACACTTGAAATATATTATAATTAGTTGATAATAGACAAAATGTATTCTATCAGATGTGTTTCGACTGAGCATTTAAGCTATGAGATAAAATAAACGAACTCACGAGATATGACGAGTCAAAAGGCTGTGAAACTTATCTCGGATAACATAAGAGATCATTGTAGGATGTCTTTTTCAGTTAGATAAGAACCAGATGAAAAATAAGATTATTATTTATTGGTATTTCGGTGATTATTATTCACTTTTTAACACTTCGTTATACTTAGTCAATATGTCATTCTGACTGACTTTCAACATAGAAATTTGCAAGTAAGTGCACCTGTTCAAGTTATAACATTCCACGTAGCACATAAATGTAGAGAAAAAAGAAATTAAATGGAACTCTAATGAGCATAGATGTGAAGGAGAGCGGATTGTGTCAAGAATAAAATATAAGGGCTGATTACATACATGAGATTACACCAAGTGAATGCATCTGTGTCATTGAAAACGACTTGGAGTCATATCTCTACCTGACACTATACGCTTAACCCCAATATTACTCACCGCACTATACTACTTAACACAGGGGATAGGGCACAGAAACCTACGATGAAACACCAGTAGTATTTTCATATCCCCCAGATTCAACGGTCACTTCTTACAACCTAGGTGAATAGTATCATTAACATACTCCAAGCTGACTAGATTGTTCCCTGGTAATTCCCCAGAGTCAATGACAGAAAATTTTACTACTATATGCATGATAAAATTAAACTAAAATAAGGACGACAGTTGTAGAATAGACTCTGTATTACATCCTTCTTGGAACTATAAGTTCCCTCATAGTTGAGTTTCAGTATTAAGTGAATAGAATACAATCCGTAGAATTCGTAAAATTTATAGAATGACGCACTACATTTTCCAAGAACCTAGTCAATTTTCCCTTACTAAAGTGAGAAATGGGTATTAAGGTTGTGAAAACTCAAAAAAATTGTGAACTGCTGCCCATGTGAATGACAACAATTCTTAGAACTGGAGTTATAATTTCAGCTTGATTGCAACGTTCAGCAATTGTTAAATGACCGCTTGAAGAACCTCAAATCTATAAAGGAAGCGCATAAGATTTAGTAAAACATATACACTATGAAGTCCCCATACCAATTGTATTACTGTAAAGACCTACACACTTCATAAATTAACTCGACAAGACGTATTACCACCTTGCTTTTATAATAATAATAATAGTATATTCTCATTTTTTACATGAGGGACGCCAGTTTACAGGCATCATCAATATGATAAATTACATATACGATTAGTAAGCACATTTAATAATAGTAATTCAATAAAATACATTTTTCCTACATGTGTAGGACACACCAATTGTACAGGCATGGATAAGTGTTATTTAAATTACATAAATTTGGTTCATGGTAAAATTGAAGTAGAGAACAACGAATAGATCACGTGCTTCGCGACTACTAGTGGTGCAGTTGAAAAAATCGAAGTGGCAAGTAATGCAAAACCTGTTTTTGAGAAATCCGTGTTGAGACCTTGTAAGAAGATCTGTCCTAAGTAGATAGTCTGATAATTGGTCTTTAACAACTTTCTCCATGATTCGCGAGATAACTGGGGTTATATTTATAGGTCCATAACTGCGAACTACACCAAAAATAATGAACTTCTATGTAGTTTCCTTTCGTGTTAGGTTGTTCTTTAGTTGTAAAAAAGACGATGAGCCCTCCGAAAAATGAATCCAAACTTGATAACTGGTGGTGATATATCTGGATAATTCGAAGCTGGGCTAGCAGCCAGTATAAGTTATAGTTGAGGAGTGGTAAAATATCCATTACAATATTCCAGAAATGGGTGAGAATATATACATGTTATCATGGTCAAAAAGTATTGAAACCTACGTATTTTTGGTGCTACATAGTGTTGACGCTGAAGTCGGTAACATCGGCAGAGTCTTCATAGAGTTGATGAGATACTATTTGCATGGAATCAGTACTGTACCTGACTGATGGTGGCAAAGGGCTATCCATGGAGTTAGTAGTAGGATACATATTGGGAGCGTTCAACTTTTTCGGCTCTATAGCCTCCAGCTCCATGAAATCTGGGACGCTTATGGAATCTTTCTTGGTTGGTAATCTGTGTACTGTTAACAGCAGTTAAATGGAAACATTCCGTTTTCGTTTCACATCCTGAGGTGACAGCGTATCCTCACCTGGCCATCAAGCGGTTCAACTACTAAACGCATTGCCATCACACTTTGTCACTTCGCCTCTGAACAGGGGACTTTTGTTGAAAATAGAATGGATATTCCTAAATTATCGCAACCAACAAGCTTTTTACAGGGTCTCCAATCAGTCTTGAGCCTGATGTTTGGTTCCGTGACAAGATTACCAACGGAATCCTTTTGGGAGCGCGTGTCTGCAGGAATCATCCAGCTAATATGTGCTACAAACATAACCATTGGCGCGATTATGATATTTCCGGCGGAATCCTAAGGGAGCATTAAAAAGCGATATGAACAACAGTTGAACCACGTGGTATCATTTTCGGTCAAATTCAGCCTTAGTCAGTTAGCATGCAGGCCGATTTTCAGCAGCTGACCCAAACACCGTACAGGCCAGTAGTTACTAAGGCTCAGGTGGATGTATGAGGTTAGGGTTTATCTACCTCGTAGTTTTTGTCGCTATTGAGTACGCATATACATATTAGGTCTTGATGCTCATTACACACATTTTCGTAAACTGCAGTGCTGCACCTTAACACGGCTATGTTTTAGGTTTTTACAGTTTTTCGAAGAACTCTGTAGAGTTGGCTTACGGCCAAGTCGCTGAACTTTCTCCATTATTACGTGTAATAAATTCTAGTCTATTGAATTCTATGGAGACATTATGCTGCTTCAAGAAGTAACATCCGAACTTCTGTACTTGAGCCCCTCCTTATTCACACCAACAGTGACATTCACCTCACTTGTTGATTTTATCGGTGCTATGAACTTTCCTTGTCAATACATCTCTTCTACAATTCTCTGTGCTGCTTGCTTAGAGGCAGCATAACCGGAATGTTTAGAACGCCTAACCTTACGCATGAAATGCTCAAAAGGAAAGGTCGCGAAACTTGCTAGTGACCTCTGCTTTCGAACATCCCCAGGTCATTTCCTCAGATATTGAATGTTAGAAACTAAGAGATGTGTGCTGTAAGCTTCTTTCAACTCCAGTGCGATTTCAACCACTTCTTTTTCTGGACGTTCTGTGAAGCGATGACACAATCTGTTATTGGATAGGATCTTCAATTGTAAACATTTTCAGTCAAATTCAGCCTTAGTCAGGTAGCATGCAGACCGATTTTCAGCAGTAACTTATGCAGAAGCAGCCACGCTTTCTAACACCAGTTATCCGTTTTTATGAGTCCTTAGAATATGCAGCTGACTGTTGTTTGTATGTGCAGACAATTCGTTAGTCGTCTGCATATATCAGTGCTTCACATGTCCTGGCGCCTTCACCGATGATATTTATAGACATAGATATTTCATCGTGAACTTCCATCAGTCGGAAATACTTGAAGTCTGAGGAGCGCCGAGCAGCTGTTCCATTCAAGTTTGAGATTCTTCAGAATTGCACATCCACGAACACGTTGGTCAAACCTATGACCATTAGGTTATGAGGCCAGGTTTGTCGACCATTCAACGAACTGTGCCAAAATTCTTTGACTCGTGGATTCTGACTTTGTCAGTTCGTGATTTAGCGTTACCCGTAACCGATGCCTTCAATAGACATCTACTTCACCAGTAACAAATCGAAATTTCTCAGAATAGCTTCGGGACATCTTCCTCAAGCGAGTCAATGGTTAACGATCTTGATTTATTACATCAGGGTGTTGGGTTATGTCCCTGGTGGCTACCTGGACGGCTGATATATACAAAAGACATTCCATCTATTTCATTTCTCTTGAGTATGATTAAAAGTTGAACTAAAGCCAAAAATGCAACAACCACGACATCCGTCTAGCTTTGGCAACACAACCAGCCAGCTGAGACTGTCACCTCAAACTTCCCGATTGATTCTATTTGCTGATTTGCGGAAGTTAAAACAAAGGGGTAAATAACAGAAATACTTCATGGGATAGGAAACTGGTGATACCATTGTGTTTTGACTATGTATTCCTATAATTTTATAGTATTCCAGGAAACTCAAACAGGAAACATTTCTACTTGATTTGAGAAAGACATATTGAGCGAAACGTCTGTGTGACTTTGTCAAATAAATTTGCTGTGTGACCCAATAATTTCCTAAGTTTCAACACACCACAAGAACAGGGGGAAGGACGCAGAACAGTTGAAGCGTTAAGCAGAATGAAATAAGAGCAGTTGGTCGGGTGTAGTTTTTAGACCTCAGTGTGCGTTTCCTCATGACCTTGGAATGGAGCTTATGGTCAAACGCTTTTATAGGTAGCGTAGACACCTAAGTCATAACGGTACCATTGGCATTTTAAAACCCTTGGCCCCTTTGTTTCGGCCACTAGCATCGCTAGGTAAAACTAGGCCAGGATATTTAGTGTGATTCCTCAACCTAGGCTTGAAGAAGAAGAGCCATCAGAATATTTCTGTGACATAAACATGTACTGATTTCGAGTTCCTGAATTTTATACGGAGTTGCGCACTGGCGATAACAATTTTTGTTTGAGAAATTTATTGATTACACTTGAAATACATTTTTGTTTCAATTTGGGCGGAACTGTTTGTTTGTACAAACACTAGTTACAGACCTTGAAAGTCACTGCGTTGCGCAATTATCCTTTTTTGATTTCAGCTATGGAGTTTTCTATCCCGGTAGAACAGATCGGCTCGGAACACCAAAAAATTCCAGTAATGACGAAGATATAAAATAACCTTTTTCTTAGGCACTACTTATTCGAATTGACAAGACTTCGTGTACAATAAAATATACTCAAAGGTTAGTCATTCGCCAGATTGCCTTTGAGAATGCAATAGTTTTACAGTTGTGGCCGAAATTCCACATATTTTTCTTGACAACCGCAACTCTGTTAAGCAATGCAGATGGTGTACTTTTGGACAACTAAATATTACCCCGACACGTGGGTATTAAGGCTATTTGCTTCCTGACGTTAAAGTTCCGAATTTAGCTGATTTGGATGAAAAGACCCAAGTAAAATTTGTCAGAAGTATTTGCCTCATTTCCGCACATCGCTATTCGCCAGAATATGTTAGTTCACCTGACCTGACACTTGCGTCATGACAGATGGCAAATGTCCTACGTTGATACTCCGAAAGTTCGTTCTGAACACACTACTGTGCTGATTTGATTCGTTTTAAAGCACATAGACAGAAAAATGGAGCTGTTGTCATTGAGTTTGTGACATGTAAGAAAGTATTGTTTTGAGAAAGACCAACCAGAAGTTGAATGATTGTCACACTCGTCGGTGTTTAAGGCTGCATTCATTCAAGTCTTGTCATTACCTAGGTCATTATCTTTCATTTTAATTGTCAACAACTTCCAGCAATTTTTCCACCTACGTAACTTTTCAGTTGTTTTTCATCGTATTGACTTGTGAGACTGACTGTAGCGTTTTGATTCCTTTTAATCCATAAGCCCTGTATTGATTAAACGCCTAATATGAGCTTAGGGTAGTTGCTTAACAACAGGTAGGTTTGAGCTCTCGTCCTTGTTGCATCAAATGAATCTGCAGTAATGTGACTATACTGATTTTAAAACGGCGGTTTTCAGGTGCATTTTCATACTGGAGATCCCTTAATGGAGCAAGTGTACTTATGAGAATAGTTGTGAGCTTGGCTCCATATTTGGACACTAAATTCCGATTTCATTTTTACTGAAATCTGTCATGTATGTACGTTTGACTTTCGAATTTGAGGTGGTCTAATATTAATTTAGTATACTCAATAAAGTAACGCTGGATTTTTTTGTTTGAAGTATATTCCTCAACTACCTGACGTAAAATGTCTAAGGACTGTTGCCTGATCAGATGATGAAGTGATTCAGCGATATGCACAAATATCTGGTTTTCTGCTGTCTGTCGGTGAACTATGTAATCACGTAAATGCATCGTTATATATGTATATATTAAATAGTGGCTTAGGTTTATTCAATCCGTCTTAGAATAATGTAGGTTCTGAACAAGTCAGTTAAATATTTTGCAAACTTGAGGATCTACGGTTAACATGGTTTGTTACTCTTCTCTATCAGTTTTTCATCTCAGCTAAATGAGTGTGTGGTTGAAAGGCTTAGACCAAGTAGCACAGTGTAAAGAAAGAATGGCTTCTTCATCATGTAAATCCTACCTTCTTTTCCTTTTGAATTAATTTTAGTTCCTGCGTTATTACTAGCATCAATGTGCTTCCTAACTTGGTAACCTTCTCCATCATTGTGAAGTGCGTTAGTGTAAATTGGTTTTACCAGTTCTTGCGTAGTTTGTGTCAGCATGAATTAAAGAAATGAAACACCATTTAATGCTTGTAGTGGCATTTCTAACATTTGACCACTTCACCTTGTTCTTATTTTTAAATATTCCTTTGGTTTTATTAATGGATACTTGATGAGTTCTTGAGAATTTATTTTGCTTGTATTTCATGTGTTTTATCAATCTACAGTCATACGCCTATAAAAGTTGGCTTATCTGAGTTGCAGCTATCTCCCAATGCGTTTTCCACTAATGAGGAACAAACTGTCCTGTCCGGCTCAATGCAAAATGGTGGTTCAGCGAATCAATCCTTTTCACCTCGGGACCCTATCGAGGTCTGGCTTGACTCCGGTTCTACTCAGAAGAAAAAGAACGTAACGGATGCAGAAACAAGTGATTCCATAGACACAGTGTCCAACGGGCCACCTGGAGCATGGTGGCCTGGCCGTGTTCTTACAATACAAGGTGGTTTTGCCCATGTAGAGGTATGTTTGCTTATGTCATTTCAGTAATATGGCATTTTTGGTGATAAGGTATAACTTTGTGAAACCTCAGATTACAATCTCATTTTAGTAACTAAATTTAAATGAGTGTGATTGCATTTTCCATGACTGTATACCCTTAAGTTCCAAGGTAGTAATTCATGAGATTCGACTATTTACTTATTAGGTGATGCACCAGACAGCCGTATAAGCGTGCTTATCAAGTACATTTAAAGGGACGTCGAATACTGAAGAAGAAACAAGGGAACCGCAAGATTTTCATCATTGCTTTCGATTCTGAACGATATTTGATTCAGTCTCAATAGAATAGGTCACATGACCTATTAGACTTCACCCAAAAAGCCGTGATGCTCTAGTAGATTTTGAGCCAACACAACTGTCTTTCATCCCATGGCGCGCTTTCTGAGTTAACTTCCGCAGCTTCTTCCATCCAGACTCAGGATTAGTAAACAATAGACGGTATAAAAGCCGCTGGGGCTCTATTCGTAACACATGTCCAAGCCTTTCGAAGCTGACGCTGCAAAATGGTCTCACCTATTGAAAAACGTTTCTCTCAGTATATGTGTGTGTCTTAAAACTTCAGAATTAATTACATTGAAAGGCCACTGGCTACACATAATCTTGCTGTGACAATGCTTGAACAGAGTCTCCGCGCATCATTAGATAAGAGGCTAGGTTTCACAAGCGCAGAGATATACTGCACCCATCAAAACGTTATAAGCCCGTCTAGAATAACATAATTGTACAAAATGTAAGGGAAATCTACGTATGCGACTCTAGTTTCTCTAGTGCTGCCGAAAATCTTATCCGTCACACTTCTACTACCCAGACAGCTACCTAAATTCAGGGACCGCTTTAATCACTTTAACTGTAAAGATGAGTGCGAACCAATATCATACCAGCACTTTAAATTTAAGCTGCAAAACACACATCGTTCGCTAACTAAGTTACTGTTTTGGGAAGATTTAATGTCACTTCGCACCGTGTAACTGGACCTTGATTTATGCAAGTAAGATATTGTGAAACTAATAAACAAAAGCAGCTCAAGTTTATCTAAAGACCCACCAATGTAGGTAGATTACAAGTTACGTTTTCCACACATCCGATTGTGATGATGTAGCTCATTTGTTTAAGCACTCGGCTGTGAGCCGATGTGTTTATGATTTGAATACCACTCCACCTACTTCACCCTGAGCAACTGGATAGTATCATCGGCCCTAACGTAATAAGTGTCCTATTTTCCAGTAATGTGAAGAATATGTCTTGGGTAGCTGGGTTTTTTATTAACGTTATGCGTAGTCTGTGTTTTGTCGCCGTAAGACAGATAGTGTGTTACTTAGTAAACGCATTCATCTTTTCACTTCAGGTTGCTGCCCCATTGCAAGAATTTACTGGAGTAGAGGATAAACCAACTGCACATGCTATACCTCACTTGATTGGAGTTAGTTCTGTCTTGCCGTACCGCTCTACCCTTGTAAAAGTTGAAGAAATCCGAATTCCTTGGAATGGTAAGACCTCTGCTGATCGGTCGCAAGGTAACAATTTGGCGACAAGTCTTCTCAAGGACAGTTCAACCGAACCTACTAATTTGCTGACACCTGGTATTCTTCACCGTCACAGTATTTGTATTCCGGCTTATTTGTCCCGAGTGTAAGTTCATTTCAAATTTTTTTCGAGTTCCAAATGGTTCATAGGGTTGGTAAACTACTTGTTTGAATAGGTGTTTGTGTCATTCCTCTACTATTTGGTACGTCTGACAAGATAGAAAAAACTGTTAAAGTAGTATGAGTATAAAGAATGTAATATACAAGTTTTTAACAAGTATCCAATACAAGCCTTCTTGAATCTGTTTTCGTTCGTAAATTTATGTCTAGCAGCACACCTTAGTAGCCGACTAGGAATCTTCTTCAGTGAATGATTCCCATGTCACAAGTCAGGAGACAAATCTCTTCATAACTTCATTTCCAAGCCGCACAGTTGTTACTGTCAGTTACAAAATAAACAAAAGTGTAATAGTAATAATGTTTAAAGATCTGAGAATAATCTCACCTAATTAGGAGGGTTGACAGTAATCGTCTGGAAATAATTGGTGAGAAAAAAGAAAACAAAGCGGTCAAAATGGGTTGCAAAACAAAAAATAATAAAAAGGACTAAATAGTGTTTGTCATATAGGTATTCAGGGGAACAAAAAGGAAAAAAACAACACCTAAGGCCACGGTAGTAAAACAGGCTGAACAAAACGTTAGTGAACACAAACTTCAGGTCTCTCTTTATGGATTGCTAAAGCTTTGGCTGCATAAAGATGTAAACGAAATCCTTTGGAACAGCGTGGTCGTACTTCATGTATGACTGAAAGAAGTTTTGGCTGATGCTATCTGTAGCAAGTAATACTGTGCTGCAGTACTAAGCAGTTGACTGTTCTGCATTCTCCTTTTGACAACCATTCCTGTAAGTCCTCATGGGCGCACCTAAACTGTATCTTTCTGGTAATTAGCTCCACAAAAGCGAGTGAATTGAATTTTGCTTTTGGTGCTTTGGTGAACAGGAGCGTGTGTGGAGAAGGTGAGGCATAGAAATGCAGCAAAAACCTCATAAAATAGTTTATTTTTGTTACTAGCTATCAATAGACTTTTACCTCTGTTGTCAATTAACATTAAAATAAATCCCTAATTATGTGTACAGTTTTGAGGTGAAGTTACTGAAAAAGGTCCATTTACTGACTTGTGTCCTTAAATTTGCATTTTACAGTACTTGATCCGAATGGCCTATAATGTTACCGGATTTTCCGGGCCTCCGAGTATTGACAAATTCTCCAATAATGTTATAAGTATCTTGCAATTCACCCACGCGATGTAGTATGACATTTATTTCACAATATTTGGAGACTCTGACTTGGTTGATCTAAGTGAGATTTGTGGTTATTGTATATGAGAACACATTTTCGTCTTTTGAATGGTGAAGGTTAACAGATGAAATACACTTTCAAAATGGTAAATGATTATGATAGTTGATCAGGTAACCGACGAAATCATATATGGTTGGGGTAGTAGTACATAAGATCAGGTTATTACTGGAGGGTGATCGACGATCGGTATCTCAAATTACCACGCGCTATGTGGTGCTTGTGTTCGGTTGGTAAGTCATCACTAACTTTGAACACTTCTCAAGTAAGAAGACCAGGTCTTGATACTTATTTTGAAAAGGAGGTAGTATTCACAAACTTAGCAAGAGGGTGACCCATGTTCGCATTTCATCCAACCGTACTGCACGTGTAGTCCACTTGAACTCCTCACAACATTCCGCTTACTGTTCTAGTCGTATCTTTTGAAGGGTTATCGAATTTCCATTCTTCGTGAAGGTGAAAAGACGTGTGGAGTATTTTTAAAAATGGGACTGAATGTGGTTTCATCTATTTTTGCCTCAAAGTATTTTACGCTGATCGGTGATAATTGCAATACTTATTTGAAGAATCTTGAGTAGGTGGAACAAGCTCTTGAATCTGTGTGACACTGCGCCTGTTATAACTATTTCTTTTCAAAGAACAATGTTAAATAGAGTGACAGTACTAAAAAGGGCAAAATAACAAGCCTAGATAAAAAAAAATAATAAAAGGCGCACAATAATAACTTTTTGAAGTGTAGATAAATATGTATACATATGCCCTGCTGCAATTTCATTCTGGTAGCTATTCTCGACCAAGCTTAATAATCCGAAAAATAGTCTTCATATCAAAGTAAATAGAACCATTCAGGGTTAGTTTTATTTTAAATGGTACAATGTGAACACAGACAGACACTTGTGTATAGCTTTATACATTCTCTGAATTGTTGGTTGCACGCTGGTCCATATATATGCATGTTTTTAAGTCCTGCCATAATTGTTTTAAGTGATCAATGCGTGACATGAAGTTTTCTGTAATTAAAAGAACTCGTCTTGTTTAATCGATGAAACGCCGAAGTGTATGAGGTTGAATGCTCCGGTGAATTCGCCCCAGTCTAAAGTTCACTGTGGGGTTTATTAAGAACTCCAACATATAAGCATCGTTTGAGCAGATGAAGAAATTGTTCATGTACACGTAACTTGTTCAAGCTGTTGGCCAAAAGTATAATTTCCGATGTTTTGTATGCTACTGCTTGAGAATGTTTGTTCCCAACAATCCTTTTCGAGTTGTATCTAATATTTGAATATTGTGGATTTCGTTCCGCTAAAGCTGTTTATATATATTATAAATGTTAATCAAGTAAATTTACTTCCTATTTTTGTTTAGAGCAACTACTCCAGAATCGCATACGACTATAGCCAAATTTTGTGGCGCCCCATGTCTTATTCAGTGTGACTCTGAACCATTCCTTCCGGGCACATTTGCGAAATCAATATTAGGAGAAGAAGGATGTAGTGAATCTGGTCAGCACACTCCAGCTCGTGGTGATTCAGGATCAGTAAGCCCATCACTGTGCCTATCTACATACACGTGGCCTTCACCCCCCTTAATATCTCAATCAGCCATTATGAATATTCCGCATATCGCGGGTACATTGAGTCCAGCTGGCATAACGGACCCAAATATCTTGTTGACAGGTTTGCCTGGAGCTAACGGACCACTTGTACTGTTGCATATTTGGTCTGGTTCTGCCGAAGCTATCCGACGTGCAACGTTCTTGGAATTAGGTCATGTTCGTTTATTAGCTGTCAGATACCATTTGGTAAGTTTGCGAAATTAAAATTATCTTTACACAAGATGCGGTAAATAATTGTTTTCACCATTGTTATATCAGTGCTCTTCATATAACAAATTTGTTTCTATAGTTTGGTTTGTAAGGATTAGTTATGTTTTACGAGTTGATCACGGACTGATATCAGTTAGAGAACCATTGAAAATCAGGGAGTACTGGACAGCTGCTGTTTCATCCTATTTTGGGAATCATCGGCAGTACGCACCCAGTGGCTGAATGGTATACGAGCTTGCCTTGTAACCGGAAGGTCCTGGGTTCGAATCCCAGTGGGTGCGTACTGCCGATGATTCCCAAAAACTAGGATGAAACAGCAGCTGTCCAGTACTCCCTGATTTTCAATGGTTCTCTAACTGATATCAGTCCGTGATCAACTCGTAAAAAAAATTTGTTTCTATTATTCCTTTTGGATACTAATGAAGCTTAGTTGAATGAATCCCAGTTTCTGGTTCTTCTACTGACCTACAGATGAATAACTATTTTTGGTAGTCATAAACAATTTTAATTCAAAATAGAGGTCATTCATTTAACTGCCGATTTTTAGTGTGTACGTCAAACATGGTCATCGCAGATGCAAAAGACCAATCCAATATGTTTTCACATATACCGTCTCTGACTGCAGTCACAAAGCCACTGTTGTGCGTATTATACAACAGTGCAACCTTTCCTAATTTATCGCTTTTTCATGACCGGTGAAAGCACAATATGTGAGAAATTCAGGATATTACATTTGATTATCAGTATTCAGTGGGATATAGTGTTAGTTAAATCAGTCGACTAAGTTTTAAATCTTCAACTGAGGTGATATTGCTACATATACGATACCATTGCCTTCTATGACAAGTGATTTTTACTCAAAAAGGATTAGATTGCAAGAGTTAAAAGTCGTGTGGCGAAGAATATCACAGTTTAGAAATTCTTTGGTTGGTCTATCTGAAGTGTTGTGAATTTTCTAATAAGGGCCGTCAAGTTGCTGAGGATCGGGGATAAAGTACACTTCTGGTGACATAACTTGAAGTCGATAACAGTGGTGCAGATTTACGCATTCATTGTCATCGATATCATGCACAAACGTAACTTTCATCGGGTTTAAAGAATGTCGCCTCTCACATATTGACTTCTAGTATTTATATGCTAGGGAACTCACATCACTTGAAGGAAACTGGTTTTAAACTGTTCAAATTTTATTTACTTTCCAGCTTCGAAACCTGTCTAAAGGAGAGACAGGAGAATTGGAATTATCCAACACTGCTGATTTTGACTCAGAAAATGGTGATACGCCAGTAATGCACTGCAAGCCCATAAGTATGCCAGCATCTGCTTCAAACGATAAACAATCGTCTAGAGGAATGATTATTGGGTATCAATGCCGTTTCCGCATTTTACCACATCTTATCGGTCTCGCAATTGGACACCGTGGTGCAACTATTCAAGAGGCTCGAGCAATACCTGGGGTTCGTGTAGTAGATCTTCTTTACGATGGAATAGTCCATGTCGAGGCTGAGGTGAGTCTATGCGTCGAAATACCTGTCGACTTTTTCCGCCTTTTAAAGGTAAAACGTTAGTAGTATTAAAGTGATTTAGAATGTCTACCTTTCCATACATATAACTTTGATAGTGAAAAAAGTGATTCTTGGCGATGTACTTACTAAATCGTTTTCCTTCAAATGACTCTAGTTTATTTTCGTACTTTATATATTCTACTGTATGCTATATAAACAGTGAGACAATATAAAAGAGTCACAAGGCCATGTATCAGAGGTTCATTAAAGGAAATTGAAGTCGACAGATAGAGGAGGAAGCTCTGGGAATAGCAATACAACGTGAATTATCAAAGTAAACAACTTTTAGTAAAAGTAATATGGTGAGTAGTAAGGATGTTTTAAGTAAGGGTCTTGGTTGTGAGAGACTTATAACCGGTAAGAAAGTTTATTGTTACAAAGTTAACTGACTGAAAAGCAAAAGGGTTAACCTGTTAAGCTCGAATACCAGGACTCCTTTTAGAGACATTTAGAGGGACTGTTTGTTTACATAGGATAGCAGTTAATCTAATTGTTGACTACTGTGAAGTAGTGAAACATTCATAAATAGTCATAGTTATTTACTAATTCATATACCAACATCCTTTAACTCAGAGAAGAGCAAACAAAACAGGTATGCGGATACTAGTTAAAATCTAAAGAAAAGATTACAAGCATATGAAAGGAAAATATTCAACTTCAAGGGAAAATGTCTCAATAAATATCACTTTTGGGTTCCTACCACTAATCTTGGTTGTGTTTTGGTCATATCGGCATTTGTGTAGACACTTCAGTCCATATAAACTGCATAAGCTCGTAATATGCTTTCATTTGATCACTCTAATTTGTCTTTTCTTCTTTATCAATCACTTGGAGTAAGCCAACCTCCCTGTGTAGGCTTCAGAGAGTCGTAACTAAATTTAAAAAATTTACATCAATGCGTATCATACACTTAATTTATGAAATTTCTGGGGTTTATCTGTCTCATATCAATATGTACAATAAAGGTACTTATGATTCATTCCACAAAAGCTCCGGATATTATCTCTTATGCTCCAGGGATACACTCGGTAGTTACTTTCATTCGATATGATTTTTGTACATATAAGTTACGCGGAACCTGGTGGATACTAAAAAATTTTTTGTACGCATATTGGACAATGATTTCATGATTTAGCGTATCAACCATGTAACATCCATTAACACTAAGTTTTATGCTTATAATGTCTGTTGACCTTTGTTTCACTAGTTCAATCTACGAATAATACCCACAGTGAATTGTGTCTCACATCATTAGCTGTAGTATTCGCCTATAGGAATTTTTAAATGGAGATCCTTGATTAAAAAGATTTAGTTTCAAAATTGAGTGTAGCGTAGAAAGATTATTTTCAATTTTTGTTATTTCATTTCTTAGACAATCGAGGCTTGTCACTCTGTCCGAAACCTGCTAGATTTTACAGAAGTTGAAATTCCCGTTCAACCACGACTAGCAAGTCGACTTATTGGATCCAAAGGGATGAATATTCGTAAGTTAGCAGAAGCTGCAGGTGTTCGTCGAGCTGAATTGTTGGATCCTGTTACCAGAAAACGTAGACATATGGCACAACGTCGGAATCAATTAGCAACACTTGTTGAAAAGGATCAGACAAGTTCTGTAACGGATGGGAAGGTAAATGAAGATACTTCAAACGGTGAAGGAATGAACAACGGTGATGATAAAGTTACTATCAACTTAGATGTCTCCTTGGAAGGCAACAAAGACTCTGATGATGTCGTTGATCTGCCTCCTGCTTTCTCGCTTGTTGGTACACGTTCATCTGTCGCAAAAATGCGTTTGCTTCTGGAATTTCAAGCGGATAATTGGAATGAATTAGATGAATTAGAGGTATGCTATTTGTAGTACATGTTTGTAAAGATAAAATTAAGTAATTTTGTCTGTCCATTTACCTTTAACTGCCCTATGGCTTATTTTCCTCGAGAAGGTATCTCACTTTTTAATATAGGTATTTCAATTTGTCATAAACACTCATTAAGGCATCATACAATGATGGCTTTTAGTTATTGTAAAATATTTCACTTTAGTTTTATTAAGATTACCTATTTACTAATATTTTCCATCAATTATTCTGTGGTCTCACATTTTGATTTAGGAAACTCGAAGGACGTTATTTAGCCAGTTACGTCAAACTACTCAAATGGTCAACAAGGCGGATTCCCTTTCCCCTGGACGCTCCTCCAATGGCAGGTCCATCAGAGGCGGGAATTTCGGGTGAGCTAATCCACTAGATTGATGGTCACATATTTTCGATTTATGCAGTCTTTAATGTCCGTTAATCTTAGCTGTTTTAAACGCTCTTAATTCACCAGCTTTATATATGTATATGTTCTACTGTCGTGTTTATTTTTAAGCATTCATTCAAGAACTTTGTTTAATTCAGTTACTGGAAACACTTGACGTTTGGAATGTGTGGAACTGGATATTCTAGTCCGATTTGCACCATATGTTGTCAAACCTTTCTCCTTCTTGTGATATACTTCTATTCTTGTATTTTCTCGGTACTATTCTTTGTCGTTGGTGGATATTGTCAGATAATATTAGTTGATACTTGTCTAAAGACGACTGCAAACAATACGTCATTACTGGAAGATAGTTTATCCTGGTGTTTTTTTTAAAGAAAAAGCTAATAAGGTTCACTTTTAAACCATGCTTAAGAGTGCACCTCACCTGTGACTAAGTACTGCGCCATTTGAAGGAAGTAACGGGCATTCATTAGGGAATTGTTCTGAAACTATCCTCGTCATATGACCGCTAGATCAGTGGACATTACCTCCATATTAAGAGATGTAGCAAGCTTCAAGCCCCAGTGATTTTATGGACAAATTAAGTTCGTGACATGGTCTATGACTTCAAAATCAGACCTGAAACCTGCATATAATACATCGGTTCAAAAAAAGCTTATTAATCTCATTGCTATTTTTGATCAGCTTTAGAGTACTAGTTATTCTGTCGTCCTTCATTCCGTGTAAATAAATGTATTTTACATATTTATTATTTTCAGTAGAAACAGACCTATGGGTCGTGGTGGCCGTCTACCAGACAATTCAATTCCCGACCAGTCCACGGATAATACAGAAATGTCTCGTCCGCCTAATTCACGCGGAAACCGTCCACGTGGCAGAAGCACTCATCAGTTCGATGTACCTAATGGTTCTGTGAGGAATCGTCCACACCCCAACAACGATTCACAAGATGGTTATTCCAATGGTATACTGAATTATTAAATGATTATACTGTTCATTCTGTTTGCTTGTATTCTTACTCTACTAGAGAGCATCAATCGGTGTTATGCATCGTTATTATAGGCCATCACAATTCCTTTTGAACTGCTAGAACCTTTCCGTTTGTTATTCCCTGTGTGATCCACCCTATGTCATCGTCTACTTGTTAGGAATAAACTCATCATTCCTATACTCGGCAAAGACTTAAAATCTCGAGATATATCAGTGTTGCAGAATAATAATGTGCATAAATTGACGCTTTTAACTACACATAAATATATTGGCTTACAGTGTCGAGCACCTTGTCAAGACTTAAAAAACCCTTTAGAACTTTGAAGAGATTCTAATTTGAACACATTTGTCTTAATTTACTTTGAAAGTCATCTACCGTCAGCCAAACAGATAAAATCATGATCGCTAGCATTATTTGTAACGTTACAGAATGAGATTAACGTCGAGTAGCAGTTCATTCTTGAACATTGAAATGCTCAAATAAGAAGAACACTGCCTATATTTTCTGCTGTGTAATTCTGGTTTTTAATCTCCTGGTATTATATTATTATAGTCGCATAGAAGATTGGTTGTCACTCGTCATTTTGCTTCCATTGTAGACTACTAAGCATGAAGAGCATCATATTTATTAAGCAGAACTTGAATTTCTACTGTTCTTTGTTGCATTGAACATTGAACTGATATATTACCCAGTGTTTCGTGGATAAATCACTCCTTCTCTGTTATATTCCTAGTCGTGTTTTCCAAAAACCCTATGGTCTATTTTTTTTCTTTTTTCAGTGTCTCTAGTAGTTGTAATCTAAATTGCAGGTTTTCGTAATTTTTAGGTGTAATGTCAACTGGTGATCATGAAAAACATCCGAGTGAATCGGGTCATGGTACTTTTGAAAAGAATTTTGATCAGGTATCAAGACAAGGCTCTGGTGTCTCCAGACGTGGTCAAAATCGCAATAAAACAAGAGCAAGTTAAATATTTGAAGAAATGTCGAAACTCGCTACTGTTCTACTCCGGTTTTATTCTACATTTGTGTTGCAAAAAAGGACTATGTTTTAGGTTATATTGTGCTTTTTTAAAGTTGTTTTTTTTTTTTTTGCAAAAATATTGATCAATAAAACACTGTGTAGATTGTCTTCCTCCTCTTAGCATGAATGTGCTTTCATTTTCGCAATGTTTTGTTTTCAATGGTGGTAGACACCAAAGTTTCAGATTTTTGCTTAGTCTTCAAAGTGCATTTACACACACAAGCCACATTTGTGTAATTAGACGCCACTTTCTGTTTCTTTATGGCAACCTCACACTTTTAAAATTTGGACGTTCCAACTAATATAACAATGGCATGCTGCCCCCTTTTTAAACATCCTCGATAATATTTTTTCTGATTAAATAAGACTACCGTTGAAATTTTTTCGTGTGTGTGTGTTTTGTCTTTTGATTTCAAAATGTCATTGGCTATCTTTAACTCAGGTTTAAATACTCAGGCAGTATTGATTGAGACACAAACGTATCGCACTGTGTAAGTGAATGCAATCAGTTGTTTTTGTGTGTATGCATTCTAGTTAGTAATATAAATATCAAATCACCAGCCAACCAAGGAATAAACCCCTGTTGGTATCTTTGCAGTTCCATCAAACTGCTAACAGCTCGATGTACTATGAATACAACTAATAAGTTGAGGTTCACCACTATTCTATGTTCTACCCTTAATTTGAAAATTTTCATTAAAAAGACCCATTATCTGATGATTGTTAATCCGACTAAGTAGACATTTTTAAAGACAGGCTTGATAATAGTTTCGTTCTATGCTGACGAAGAATTCTCACCTTCCCATACCTTCTTGGACAACCCAGTAAGTTCCTGAACAAGAACTTCACAACATTTTTCGAAATAGCAGGGCGTAAGTTGAGTGACCCGAGTGTCCTATGGAGTTCTAGCAGTTTGAGTTGGTTTCCGATCTCCCCTTTGTTTGATGAATTAATGTAACAATAGAAGTTAGTCACTCTGCAGGACCGAATTACATATTATTTTTGATTCCTAGTGTTCTCTAAAAACTTACTCAGTTGACAGAAAAACTCATGCTCAGGTGTATCCGAGCTGCAATCCATCAGTGCGTAGGCAGCGATAATAAAAAGGCGATGTTTCTCTGACCGGTTTCTTCTTGCTCCAGTATAACCATCTAGCCTCACTATCTAAGGCGGAAGATCGAATGCAGGCACCTATGGTCAAAGACAACTAACCTTTTCATATAATCCTTCGACTTTTAATGGTCATGCCTCACTGACTGACATTAGGAGGACAAAGAGAATTCCTCAGCAGTAAACATGTACTTTGATCGACAAACAGACGATTGTTGGACGCCGGTAGTTATGCCTGAGTTGGAGAATCTGTCGAAGGTGAAGGTATAATCGATACACCCCCTTCGTGGTCTACAGCCTGACGCCTGGTTCTCTTGTGTTCCACCCGTTCGCCGCTTAGTCTACGTATGATTATTGGGACTAGAACTTTAGACACCATGTATTGGTCAAGATAATCCCCCTGTGATCATAACAGGGAGAAGGAAGACTTGTCTCCCTTCTTGAACATCAGGGTAATCAATGACTTACACCAGTCCGACGCGACTATCTCTGACTCCCAAACTCTGTCTAATGCCTTAGTAAGCTCAGACAGTAAACTGTCTCCACCATCCCTGAACACCTCTGGAGCCATTCCATCAGGTCCCGTTGCTTTACCTCGTTTCAGATTTGAGACAGCCTTTGTAACCTCATTTGGGGAGAAGGAGGAGGAGGATTGAGGACCTGTGTTCACATGTCATGTAGGGCGTCGTTGGATGCCCAGTAAATTGAGCTTGGCTGTAGGCCAGTTAAATTGCTCCTCAAAGTGTTCTTTCCAAAGTTCCAGTCGTCTATCCTGAGGGCTAATTAGAGTGCAATTTTTCTCTGAGATTGTTTCACTTATCATTTGCTTTTTGCCATCTGTTTCCCTGATAAGTCTAAATAGTTGTCTTGTGTTACCTATCGCCAATGCCCTTTCCATGTCTTTTATCGCCCACCACTGTGTACGGTCGTTGTGAAGACTTCTCGTTAGTTTGTGTTTGAGCAGCTCTCGCTCCTCATGATATTGGGAGCTCGCCGGAATCAGTCTTTTTTGGGTTAGTGGGCTTGAATGAGGTAGTGGAAATCCGCTGGCTCTTACTATTTTTCGTTCTTTGGTGATTTACAGCCTTTGGAGTTGTGTCTGCAGCTAACTGTTTATTGTACCAGATTTGCTCATGAGGAGTCCTTTTGTTGACCTGAGATACTTGTTTCGCTATTTATTTGTTGAATCGGAACTGAGTGTCTTGTTCTAGTTGGGTGCGCTACTGCTTCGCTTACAACTGGTTTTCATATCTCTTCAGTCGTAAGCATAAACTTGCGCGAACCAGGACGCGATCGGATTCTACACAACTGTTCCCGAAGGACCCCCGCCAACGATACTTTATCGCTATGTGGTCTATCTGAGTCCAGCGTTGATTTGGTGATGGAGGTCGCCAGCTTAGACAATGTCTCTGCCTAAAGCTAGTGCTGACTAGAAACAGATAAACAGAATTGTTGAATACGATCACCGTTGTCGGTAGGGAACTCCATGCGTACCACCTATATACTCTTCAGTCTGGTTTAACTTCCCTACGTCGCCTGTTAAAATTACCATATCTGAGCGTTCCGCTTTTTGCAGCAAAATAGACAGTTTCTGGTAGGAATCATTCTTTAGTTCATCCGAAGTGCAGTCGCTTGGGGCGTAAGTGGAGACTATGAAAAGACAACGACGGGTAACGCCGTCCCTGCTTCTTCTAACAGACCCGTTCAAACGGACCGCACACATACGACTATCTATTCGGATCCAGTCAAGAAGTGACTTTTCTGCCCTAACAATCAATGCAATCCCTACACCTGTAAGTCCTCACCAACTAGCTGAGGAATCTCCCTTAAGGTCACCGTTAAAGTGAAATTCGCAGATTCATCTTGTTTGCCGGGTGGGGTTAGGTAAATGACCACACTCCGGTCTTGTATTTATGTCTCCGAGATGCAACGTACATCCATGGCTCGAGATACCAGAGTTCCTGCTAGTGATGTCTGTTGTCCGATTTGGCAAGGGGCCTGACGTTAAATGCTCCGGTATGAAGTTGGCAGCGTGGTTCGAGAGGCTATCAGTGGTGTTTTCCTGAATCTCATCGTTATTTGTGGCTACGGAAAAATGAAGATGATTGAATAGACTGCAGAATAGTGCTCCCAGTAGTATGCAAGCAGGATGATGAGCGTGACAGGAGTAGAGGAAGAGGATGAGCAAGAGGTCATCGTGTGATTTAGGAGAGTGTGGGCGGCTGCTGATTCACGTATCCCCGCAACGTATATATCTTAAAGAAGAGATTAGGAACTACTCCTCAGTGGCCACATTGGAACATTCCGAGAGGAACACCGAAGTCTGTTTATCATCGACAGCAACTCGCGATATATTGCAGGCATATATTATGTGGCAGCCGTCCATTGATGTTCACTAAACTCTCTTGCTCCATAATACATCGATTTCCACAAGGAGATATCTGTACATAGTTTCATTTTACAGAAGTGTGTTTTATCCATCTGCCTTGCGTCAAATAGACCTTATATATATATATATATATATATAATCCAAAAATAACATCTACGAAACAATTTTCTCAATAAGATATGAGAGTCAGTTAATCTTTATTCTGAGAAATAGGATCTAAGCAGTGAGTCAAACAGAAATGAGCTATAGGAGGTCAGCAGGTAGAGAAGGTGGTAATGTAAGCGCAAGTAGATTTTCAGATACATCAGACTGACTGACGACAAGAATCAGACTACTCATGGATCTGTAGTTTATACAGACAGGTCGACAGTATGATTGTACTGATGCACGCACATCTATACATGATATTCAGCGAAAATACAGATGTAGTGGTGATTACCCGTCTTCCTTATTATGATTGACCATTCAGTGGATCTAATGCACTATACAATCATAACGGTGACTTAAAGTGAAAGGTGACTCCGAGAGAAAGCACGATTCGAATGAAAGATATCACGAAAATTGCCGATCTTATTATGAGAAAATCGTAAGATAAAACGTGTGAGAGATTGGAAGGAACGCAATCAGAGTACTGTGTGAATATTATGAGGTCAGTTTTCGCAAAGAATTTTTACGATGGATTTTGTAATACAGTCAACTTTAATTGTTTGAACTCCGTCTTTCTCAAATATTTCGAACTGAGTGCCTACAGACACTCCCGGCCGATAACTGCTACCTTGTCGTGGTGGTCGGGCTTGAATACCGCAATGACCCAAGAAGCTGAACTGACTAGGACTCTGTCTCTACAGGTCCTACCATGTCAGGGAGGTTTTTCTGGATAGCGGTTAAACTAAAAGCAGTTACTATGGGGTACATGGGCTCCAGTTTCCAACTGGATCGAATGGCGTATGAACCCATATGGGTCACCGGCAACCATGGGAATGCAGCTCCTGACGCTGCTCCGCTGCCTTGCGGATTAGACTCCAAGTCAAAGGCTCGGGGGGTGGTCCCTTAAGAAAACCACCTGCTTCGGTCTGGGCGCTCGGGCAGTATCTCAGCCCGCACACAATGAATGAATTGAAGCAACGAACTCTCATTGAAACTCAACACGCGCTAGTAAAAATGATTCCAAGCAATATGGATCCCTCAAGCAACTTATTTCCTTCCTATCTTACTTTTATTTTTACACATAGTTTCCCGAATTCTACCTTTGCTAACCTTGGCTTCTTAACCTTCGACAGCCTTTCGCCTTTGTCGAGATTCCCAGCCTATCCGTGTCGTTTCGAGATGCTAGTAGGTAGTCCTCAAAATGGTTGTTCCCAATGTGACTTCTAACACAGATATCCTGAAACCGCGTGCTGCGTTCAAGCTGGCTACCTACAATGTTCGGACGCTGATGCAAATCGGACAACAGGCAGGGTTGGCAAGAACTTTGGAAAGCCTTGCTATCGATGTCTACTGCATTTCGGAGACCCGCATTCAAGATCCCAGTGAAGTGCTTCGACTATCCTCTCCATCTGGAAGTTCTAGTAGTATGTACCACCTGCGCTTATCCGGGGACCCTGTGGCATCGGCATCCGGCGTAGCTGGTATCGGTGTCGCACTGAGCGCTAGAGCTGAAGCTGCACTGCTCGACTGGATTCCCATTAACAGTCGTTTATGTGCTGTGAGGCTGGAAGGATATACGAAAGTAAGGAGTAGTAGGCCAGATAGGCGGTGTCTATCTGTTGTCTCTGCCTATGCACCGACGGATTGCAGCCCGGATGCAATGAAAGATGAGTTTTACTACCAACTGAGCGATCTGTTGAAACAGGCGGGTCGGAGGGATATCGTAGTGCTAGCTGGGGACTTTAATGCACAGGTCGGGCGTCTAAGCTCAGAGGAGAGTCGTCTAGGTGGTCAGTGGGGACTACATGGTCGCAGGTCAGATAATGGGGACCGTCTTCTGCAGCTTTGCGCGGATCACAACCTATTTCTAGCCAGCACCAACTTCCGGCACAGCCATCGCCGTAGCGCTACCTGGCGTCCTCCCTCTGCGAATCAAGCTTGGACTCAGATTGATCATATTGCGGTCAGTTTCCGGCGGCGAGGATGCATGCAAGACTGTCGCTCCTTCTGGAGCACATGCCTGGACTCCGATCATGCGTTAGTGTGTGCCAAGTTCGTCTTGCGATTTGGTGGGGTTCGTAAAAACCGTCGTCTAAGCGTTGATGTGAGCAAACTAGTAGCACCTGCTACTTCTTTGAAATATCAGAATGAGTTGAAAACAATGCTTGCCAGCAACCCCCCAAGTAGTATAGATGAACACTGGCTTCATGTGCAAGGTGCCATGCAAAAGGCGAGTGTAGCCGCTTGCGGCTTGAAAGAATGCTCCGCTAACAACCACTGGGTTTCAGCGAGTTCCTTGCAACTCATGGATGAACGCCGATCCATTCCGGCTGGCAGTGAATACAACAATCAGCGAAAGGCGCTCATGCGCAAGATTAGACAGTGTTTACGTAAGGACCGCGAAGCCTGGTGGTCAGAACGTGCGTATGAGATGGAGTCAGCTGCTGCATCTGGCAACAGTCGGAAACTGTTCCAACTCATACGAGCCACCGGCAGCAAGAAACAAGGTGTCAGCGAGACGGTCTGTGAGGCAGATGGCACTCCAATTACCAGCCTGAAGAGACGCCTGAAACGCTGGGCAGAGCACTTCGGGAAGCAGTTCAGCTGGCCACCAGCTTCATTGTCTACTATCATTAGCCCGAGTGCTCCTTGGTCGGTTAGTACCGACCCACCCACCGAAGCGGAGGTCCGTAAGGAACCCCAAGTTCTGAAACGCCATAAGGCGCCCGGCCCAGACAAAATACCTACGGCTCTTTTTAAAGATGGTGGCGAGACTCTCATAATGGCTCTAACTGGGTTGTTCAGGAGGGTGTGGGAGACAGAGAGCGTACCATCAATGTGGAACGAAGCCATTATCGTCCCCATCTTTAAAAAGGGTCGACGTAATTCGTGTGACAACCATAGGGGTATCAGTCTGTTACCAGTTGCGTCTAAAATATTGGCTGCTGTCATGCTTCGCAGACTGTGCAAAATACGTGAAGGATTGATTCGCGAAGAGCAGGCTGGGTTTCGTTCAGGTCGTGGATGCATTGATCATGTGTTCACGCTTCGTCAGTTGTTGGAACACCGCCACACGTATTGCAGGCCAACAATCGTTGTGTTTCTTGATATTAGGGCTGCCTTCGATTCGTTGGACAGAACTGTGCTCTGGAACTGTCTGTTAGAGAGAGGTGTACCTGAGAAATTTGTTAACATCTTGAAAGCCCTATACAAAAACACCTCAGGTAGAGTGAGGGCATACAACCAACTATCACCACTGTTCCCAACCAGCAGTGGGGTTAGACAGGGTTGCCCAATCTCTCCATTTCTCTTTAACTTTGCCATCGATGACATTCTGGAGTCAGCTCTGAAGGATGTGCGTGAAGGTGGTGTAGATCTGCTACCTGGAGATAGACTTTTCGACCTCGAGTATGCAGACGATATCGTCTTACTGTGCGATAGCATGCAAGCTGCCCAAATCGCACTTAATCAGTTGGCGATCAGTGTCTGTAAGTATGGTATGTGCTTTGCGCCGTCTAAGTGCAAAGTACTGTTACAAGATTGGCAGGAGCCTGTACCTGCACTCACTCTTGCGGGTGAACCGCTTGAAGTTGTCGATAAGTTTGTGTACCTAGGTAGTTGTGTGAGTGCTGGCGGAGGGGTGACGGATGAGATTTCTAACCGTATAATGAAAGCTAGGGTGGCATACATCAACTTGAGCCACCTCTGGCGCCGTCGCGACGTTAGCCTGGCTGTCAAAGGTCGGGTATACAATGCTTCGGTGCGGGCTGCGCTGCTCTACGCCTGTGAAACCTGGCCTCTCCGAGCTGAGGATGTGAGGCGACTCTGCGTGTTCGATCACCGCTGTCTCCGCAGGATTGCTTGCGTTCGATGGCATCGTCGCGTGAGTTATTCTGAGGTTCGGCGGCGTGTGTTTGAACACAGTGGAGATCACCATTCATTGAATGTCGTCATCTGGAAACACCGGCTCCGGTGGCTTGGACATGTGCTGCGAATGTCACCCCAGAGGCTTCCATACAGGTCTCTGTTCGCTAGCCCTGGGACGGGATGGAAAAGGCGGAGAGGTGGTCAGCCCATGACGTGGCGTCGTGGGATGAAGGATTTCTGTGCTAGATTAGCATCGGTTGGTGTGTCACGACTCCCTGGTTGGGGTCTGAGAGATAGCTCAAATCGATGGCTCGAAACGCTATCGGATATGGCCAAGAATCGTAATCAATGGCGAATGTGTTGCGATTTCCTTCTTTCTTCCATTCCCGATGATAGTTAACGAACACTGTTTGGACCTGTTAAGAATGAGTGTTTCCCTTCCAGATGAAGTTCTTTATTCGTTCTCTACTTATATATATTTTTTCTTTCCCTGCCTTCCTTTCTTTTTTTTCATCTATGTTGTTTTATTATTATTGTGTGGCGCATCCTTCTTGGTGCCATATTGTACCAAGTTTTAATGCGTTTAAATAAATAAATAAATAAATAAATAAATAAATAAATAAATAAATAAATAAATAAATAAACTACAGACACTCGCGACCGTGCATTACTCACTCGAAAATGCATCCCTGCTAGATGACATCTTTAGTCTCATTGAACCAAAATTTTCTCCTTAGACTCTAACATATTTGTTGGAAATTTAGAAGATCCCAAAGAATCCGATCCCGTGAAAAGGCACGATCACGACCTTAAATTAGTGAGTAGTATTATAAGGAAGATGCTCCCTGCGAATTTCCCTGGAGTATCGATTAAAAAGCTAATTAGAATAAGCAAAAGAGATGATGAATGTTCTAATCAGCGTAGGTTGCTTAAAGTAATCTTAGGTTCTCCTGATGAACGGAATCATCTACTGGCTAATGTACACAACCTTGCCGGGTCAGGGATTTCAGTCAGACCTGATTTATCTCTTGAAGACAGAGTTAAACGAAAAGAAGTTTTGTCCCAGCTAGAAACAAGACGTAAAAATGTTGAGACTAACCTTAAACTGGTGGGTTTTCAAATAGTCAGGTCTTGGAAAGGTATGCGGATAAGCCAGACTGCATAGGACGCCTGAAGGTAGTGTACACTAATTTACGTAGTATCGGGAACAAATTTCATGAGCTAGGTGTATTAGTGGAAGACCTTAGCCCAGGTATTGTGGCCATTACTGAAACATGGCTGGTTTCTGGATCAGATGACACACCTGAGGTATGTGGATTTAGTTGCTTGCGCAGCGACAGGGTTCAGGGTCGTAGAGGTGGCGGGGTCCCTCTGTACATCAGCAACTCCCTGCATGTTCGTTCCGTGAAATCTGAAGTGCATGACAGTGGGACAAGTGAGGTAATTAGCTGTGAAGTAAGCTTTGCAACTGGCACTCTACTCATTGGAGTTCTGCATATAAGTCCCTTTCGTCAATGTGATGACTTTATTTTAGATCACCTCAAACAATGGAGTAAACACAGTAGTTGTCTTAATCTAGGTGATTTTAGTGCACCTCATATAGACTGGGTAGCTGTCACGTCTCCAGGATCCGCCAATAAGTTTGACAGCCGGTTACTCTTGACTACCATGGAAAATGCCCTGACACAACATGTCTTAGGTAGTGCAAGATTCGGTTCTACCCAAGGATCTTCCTTGCTGGACTTAGTGCTTACTCATGACAACGACGAAGTGGATGGTCTAGTTATTCATCCACCTCTAGCAAACAGTGATCATGGGGTGTTAGATTTTAACTTAAGGGTTGGCAATTTAGTCAGTTTTCAACCCAAATCCCGACCTAGTGTTTGGCATGCTGACATAGTCGCTATAAAGGAGCGTGCTTCAACTGCCGACTGGTCAGTCAATATGGTCTCATCCATTGAAGATGAATGGGACAGATTTAAGAATACACTTGAGAGGGTTACCACTGATTTCATTCCCTGGAGGGTTCCTAAAAGGCCAACAAATCGGCCACCATGGATGAATAGACAAGCTATAACACTCCTAAGACGGAGAAAAATGTTCTGGAATCTCTTTGTTTCTACTGGGCTACAGCAGTTCCAGCTGAAATACTGTGAAACCAGAAACCAGTGTAAAACTTTGATTCACCAGTCAAGGATAGCTTACGAAACCCAGTTAGTTAAAAGTTCACCAGGCTGCCCGAAAAGACTCTTCTCATATATCAAGAGAAGAACACGTAAGAGTGATGCTATCCCACCTCTTATGCTTGAAGATGACCAGACAAACATGGGTGAGGATAACTTGACTAAGGCTGAGGCTTTGTCCAAGCACTTTTGTCAAGTATTCTCTGATAATATTGATACCAGCTTTGTAACTTTTCCAGAAGGTAACTTGAAAATGGCACCCTTATACATTGGAAAGGATACTGTCCTAAAGTGGCTTCTAAGGTTCAATCCTGGTAAGTTCAGTGGCCCTGATGAACTCCACCCACGTATATTAACAGCATTGGCTGAAAACATAGCCGAGCCATTGTCGGTAATCTTCAGTATGTCTCTGGACCAGTCTAAATGTCCAAGAGACTGACTGGAAAGATGCCATCATTAGTCCGGTCTTCAAAACCGGATCTAGGAACTTAGTTCAGAACTATCGTCCTGTTAGTTTGACCAGTATTGTTGTTAAACTACTAGAAAGAATAATTCGTGATGCTATCATTCAGTTCATCGAAGGGAACAAACTTTTCGCTGTGGAACAGCATGGTTTTAGAGCAGGTCATTCTTGCTTGACCAACCGTCTTTTGGCCAGAGAAAGTTGGGAAAGCTCAGCTGATGCTAATATACCGGTGGATCCCATATTCATCGACCTTAGCAAGGCGTTTCACAGGGTTTCTCATTCAGGTCTTCTAGTAAAGTTAGGTAGTCTGGGAATCAATAAAGTGGTTGGCGACTGGATTCAAGACTTTCTAAAGGAC